ATAATAAATAATACCTGCATTCTCCTTGATACCAAGTAGACACACTAAATGATTCTATAACATCCGTCTGATTCACGTGGCAGTTCTCCTTCATTGAGAAAAGCAGCTGATGGAGAAAAAGTAGCTTAGGAAAATAATCCTGCAGAAACAGTGGCAGACTGAAGCATCCTGAACACTGAGTTATGAGTTGCAGACTTGCTGATTGGATGTGGAGGATGTGGTGGGCAGTATCTTCTTAAATTTTTGGTGTAATTCTAGATATTAATCCATTCTTTCAGATTTACCTGATTGTTTATTTCTTAAATTGAACTTTTATGCAAATAGTTTTATTACATGTTGTGTTCTTGACTACACCACACAGACTGATCCTGATTTAATGTGCATTCCTGCGTTTCTGTCCTCAGATGACATCAGTGGAAAGAGTAGTAGAGTACACTAAACTGGAGAGTGAAGCACCCTGGGAAACCCAGAAACGTCCTCCTCCTGATTGGCCAAGTAAAGGCCTGGTGACTTTTGACCAGGTCAACTTCTCCTACAGTGCTGACGGACCTCAGGTGCTGCACAACCTGAAAGCCATGTTTAGACCCCAAGAGAAGGTCAGACATCAAGGTTTATTTGTTTTGTTTCTAAGAACCTGAAGCCATTTGTGTGATACGCTGTCAAACCAAAGCTTATGTTCTGTGTCCTGTGGGTCAGGTTGGTATTGTGGGCAGAACAGGAGCCGGGAAAAGCTCTCTGGTCTCGGCTCTGTTCCGCCTGGCAGAGCCCCAGGGGAAGATCTACATCGACGGTATTGTGACCTCTGAGATCGGCCTCCATGACCTGCGGCAGAAGATGTCCATCATTCCTCAGGTACAACATCATAGCTGACCTCTTAGCAGAACACAACACTAGCATCTGGCTACTCTTGTTGCCTTGTTTCGTAGCTCGTCTACTATGACTTTGTTACTTTGACATGAGAAATATTTGGCTAATAAGTGACATTAATTATTACTAGTTGGGCACATCCTTAAAGCTAAGAAAGGATCAGCAGCCCCAGTCTGCTCTGACACTCTAGAGTCACTTCTGTTTGCTCTGTGAGAAAATCACAAGTGTGCTTTGATTTGGTGCTTATAAATAAAATTGAATTATTTGCTCAAACAATTATACGAGTGTAGTTTTAACACTGCATCTTTTGTTTTTTTTGTTGTTTGTTTGTTTGTTTTCACCAGCTTACCAGTAATGAGTTAAAATCAGCTGTCCAGGAAACATTTTCTCCTCAACGCTCTCAGCATTTCAATTCCCACAAAGCTCTTTGCTGTGATCAGTCAGAACTTTTGCAAACTGTAGGATGCATTCAAAACCAAAGGAGGGCAGCTGGTTACAGTGTGCCATGTGTGCCATTTAGGTTTTTTAAACTTTTACCTGCCACAGCAGGACACTCACTCAGATATGTCGAAATAAGTCACTGTGCTGTTCTGTTTACAAATAGTCCACAAAATCGAATCATTTTGGTGTCCTCTGGGTTCTCCAACTCTCCCCCACCCCTTTAGGACCCGGTACTGTTTACGGGTTCCATGAGAAAGAACCTGGATCCATTTAACCAACACACAGATGAAGAACTGTGGAGTGCTCTGGAAGAGGTCAGTAACTCTCACAATCGGCAGAATCAGTAGTGTGTGAGTTTTAATTCTTGTATGATGAAGCAGAATACTTGCCAAACTATTTTATTATCTTACCATAGCAACAGAAATATTGTGAAATATGTCAGGTTGGCTCATCAGAGCGTAGCGTACTAGCATCAAACTGTCCCATTCAGGATGACTGAGGGTGGAGGAGCTGCTGTCTCTATTGCATGAGGATATTCTCTTACATAGGCAATTATGTAATTATGTCCTGGAGCCAGGAGCGGACAATCAGAGATCCCAGTGTGGTGGTGAATGACCTCAAGGATTTTGACCTCAAAATCAGCCTTGAAAAGAGCTGCCAGGAACCTGCACCATGTATGGACTGTCTGGGGCTCTGTATAGCTCTTATTCCTAATTGTGTCACTTTCAGAGCAGAGGATCATCAGCATCCTTCACACATTGTCTCTCCCTCTTTCAGCTGAGAAAAACTGTGCAGTTCCAACTCTCTGCATCCTTGCACTCTTTAATTCCTGTGGTGCATTTACAACCGCTTATAATGAGGGATTGTCAGCTTTGGGTCACATCTCTACATCTGCTGCTGTCACAGTGTAACAATAACACCGCACTGTCTATCACAGTTCTCCACCTGCAGAGGAACCCAGCAGCTCTTATTGCACAAATACCTCTGAGGGTGATGTTACCCAGAGTAGCCCTTATGGCCTATGATGGGAAGGCAGTGAATGGCACAAATGTGCTAAAGCTGTGCTCTTAGCATCACGGGACATCTCTGTGGGTAACATTGTAGTCAAAACGGATGACTATGCAGTAATTATATTATGTTATAGTTTATATTAATCTTTGTTAGGATATTTAGATACTAACAGGTCTTATTCATGATTTTTATATGTAAGAAGAAGAACTTCAAATTTAATGCAGAGAAGCTAATATGTGAAGAATGGAGTCTCTCTTTTATACTGATTGCAGCATTCTGGATCAACTGAAGGCTTTTAGGCTTTTACAGCAATGCAGCCTAGAATAAATAAATACACCAACTAGCTTTCCAGCTTTACTTTGAGACAGGTTGCTTCTAATTTTACAGGTACTGCACAAATTAATAGAAAGAAAAGAAAGGCAGTCCTTAACGTAGATGCTAAGGAACATACCCTGATCAAACATGAGTCCTTGTGTTATTGGAGGTTGAGTCAGTGTCAGGTTAGACACACTATTTGTTTTTGAATCATTTGTCTTGATTGATAAATAAAGCTGGGTGTCATCTGCGTATCATATCATAGCAGTGCTTCTAATAATGTCTAAGGGAAGCATGTATGATTGGTCCCAGTACAGAACCCTGTGGAACTAACTGTAAAAAGACGACAGAGCAGGAATTATTTATAGAGGACACACACAGTGTAGTTAAAGCTGCTTTATTTATTTTTTTATTCCTGCAGGTGCAGCTAAAGTCCGTGGTGGAAGAGCTCCCTGGAAAGTTGGAGACTGCCCTGGCTGAGTCGGGCTCCAACTTCAGTGTGGGCCAGAGGCAACTGGTGTGTCTGGCACGAGCTGTCCTGAGGAAGAACCGCATCCTCATCATTGATGAGGCCACAGCCAATGTGGACCCGAGGTACTGCAAGATGACGTTTGCCTACTGTGTATGAACAACATCTTGTTAGACAGAAGAATATCTTGTGTACTGCAGCATGATGGGATACAGAAACTACTCCGCTGATAACACTTACTTTGACACATCGGTGGTTGTTTGCTGATAGTAAATTTTATCTAAAGGTCACACTAACAGAAGCGTTTATTTCTGCGGCTGCAGGACCGATGAGCTGATCCAGAAAACCATACGAGATAAATTCAGGGAATGCACTGTGCTCACCATCGCTCATCGCCTCAACACCATCGTAGACAGCGACCGTATACTGGTGAGTCCTGAATCGTTGACACTGATGCCACTTAATTAGGTAAAACCTCTAATTAGGTAGTAGTTAAACAACTAATGCAAAGGTAAAAAGTAGAATGGCTTTTTGCTGAGAGCTGGATCCAAATAATCTGTCAATGCCAGGCCTTAGAAATGCATTAATGCTTAATGCATTCTGTATTTGACAAGATTGGTGTCCAAACATACAAACTGTAACACAAGTGTGACTGTCACCTTTGGAGCAGCTTCTGCTTTCCCTGTATGTGGATGGAGTGTCGGGCTTTCTGGGTTTAGCAGCTTTTCTTTCATAGCCTGAAAAATGCCAGATTCAAGTCAAGAGGCTATTAGTTTTACTTTGAAACTCATACTTTGCTCTTACTTTTGTGCAATAATCAGAACTATTTGTTTCCAGGTTCTAGATGCAGGGAAGATCCATGCGTATGATGAGCCGTACACCCTGCTGCAGGATCCCACTAACATTTTTTATAAAATGGTGCAGCAGACGGGCAAACAGGAGGCAGCAGCTCTTCTAGAGGCAGCTAAAAAGGTCAGTTTGACTCAAGTTCTTCACACTTAACGAAAACACTCTTTTTGTAAACTGACATTTGTAAACTATGCGTTCCAGGCTTACGACAGCAGGAGCCACCCCAGCCTGTCAAACGGACACGCAGTAACAGCAGACGGGAACTTGGTTATCTTTGAGACCGCTCTGTAAGCTCAGGGAGGCACTGAATTGCTGCTGCTCCTCCAGAAGATCCCTGGGCTGTAAAGCCCCTCCAGTCTCTGGTGAAAGCGCTGATCCGCTGCTGGTGGCGTAAGACGGGGTGGACGTGACCTGCACAGCATTGATTTGCTGGGCCTGATGTGGCCACACAGTGCAGCCGTTTCCTCAGACTGACTGCCCAGAAATCAGGGCTATGAGAACTGTTGATGTAGAGCACTACCTATTTATCTCTCACGTGTTAAATTGCTGCTCAGCATTCTGGTGCCTTGCACAAATAGCTTTTAAATGGCTACATAATCCTTAAAATCCCAAGTGCTTTAATTTACTGATGGAAGTAAATCACTTGTAGATCAAAGTGATATTATTGTTCAGGATTAGTAACGACCAAATTCTTACTCTGCAGAGATCTCTCTGTATTTTTTTCACATTTATCTCTTTAACTACATGTTTTAAAGACTTGGGAAAAAAGCGTCACAAGATTTCAGTGTTAAATATTTTGTTCCTTGTGTTGTTTAAATGCTGACTGAAGCATTTCCAGGGAGGAAAGTGAAATAGCAGTGTGAGCTGTCTGCTGAATGTTTAAGTTATTTCAACTTTGTACGCTTGTTTTGTCAAATATTACATAAAAGGCCCACACATGGTAACATTTGTCTTGGTGTATTGTGTAGTTTTTGCTTTTTGGCAAATATTGCTACTAAGATATAATACTGAAATCAAATCTTTGGTCAAGTCAAGAAGACAAGGACTGTTACAAATTACATGAACTTTATGAAAATTCGTGTACAAAAAGTATAACGGTTGGGGAATTCAAGGTCAAATTCTGAAGCTTACAGATCTTACAGAGTAGCTTGTTCACATGTGACAATGTAACCATAATTTATGATTTCAACATAACTTAAAAACAGACACAGATCAAATAAGATCAAAGCATAAAAAACATCAAACGCCCCAGTCGTTGCACACAGTTGGAGGCAGGAGGAGCTCGCGGTGCTCAGAGGTTGCTGCAAGAGTTCAGCTGATTCCAGTGTTTCACTCCACGTCACAGTTTAACTTCTCTGTTTGGGTGTGAGAGAGACTTGTTGGAAGTAGACCGCACCTGGTTGTAGCAGCCACAGAAAAGTCTAAATTATTTTGCTCAGGCTGCTGTCATAAGCTGGAAAGCATGGAAACTGTGTGGATGCAGATTTTTCAGCCATGTTTAAGGGGACTTTTTTTCACCTCACCTTCCTGCTGACTCCAGCAGAGCCGCTGCCTCAGCCTGGCCCATCTCTTGCACCATCTTGTAGAGAGCACCCTCCTTGTTTTGCAGCAGAGTGAAAGGACAGTCCAGCTCCTGGATGGTGCCACTGTCCAGCACCTTAGGCCAAGAGAAAACATACGGTGGTGTAACAGTTAACACAGGAACATTTTTTGCGTATCTGTGTACTCTAACAGTATGAATTTATTAAAAAGCTACAGTCGGAATAGCTGAGTCACCAGTATACGGTCGCTGTCTATGATGGTGTTGAGGCGATGAGCGATGGTGAGCACAGTGCAGTCTCTGAACTTTTCCCGAATGGTTTTCTGGATCAGCTCATCTGTCCTGCAGTAACAACAAGAAAAACACTTTGAGAATCATGTGGGAAAAGTGTGTTGAGAAAGCTCCTGGATGTCTAGGAGCTCTCTGTACTGGTAATGTATCTGGAGGACCTTGGGTCAACGTTGGCCGTGGCTTCGTCGATGATGAGAATGCGATTCTTCCTCAGGACTGCTCTGGCCAGGCACAGCAGCTGCCTCTGGCCCACGCTGAAGTTGGAGCCTGACTCAGCCAGGACAGTCTCCAGCTTCCCAGGCAGCTCCTCCACCACAGACTTCATCTGTACCTGCAGTGAACATGGAGAGGAGAAGCCTGTAGCTGGTCTGTGGGCAGAAACGACAAATCTGGGTGTGCTAATTAAATACTAGCCTCTTCCAGAGCTTTCCACAGGTCTTCATCAGTGTGCTGGTTGAAAGGGTCCAAGTTCTTCCTCACACTGTCAGTAAAGAGAACTGGGTCCTGGGGGAGCAGAGGGGAGAGAAGTCAGGGAGAAAAATCAGTAGACTCTGCTACGTCATTAATTCTATGTACCGGATATGGATTTGGAAACGACACGCAGTATTGTATGACTGAAAATCTGTGTTTTGAGTTTAATTTACTGAAAATAAATGATATAGCAGTTTCAATTAATAGAAGAATAACAGAAATGGATAGCATTATTGTAACAGTGAGATTGTAACTACGCATTTCTTCAGGCAGTTGAAGTGTCATCTGATGTTGTACCTGAGGAATGATGGACATCTTCTGGCGCAGGTCATGTAGGCCGATCTCAGAGGTCACAATACCGTCGATGTAGATCTTTCCCTGGGGCTCTGCCAGGCGAAACAGAGCCGAGACCAGAGAGCTTTTCCCCGCTCCTGTTCTACCCACAATACCGACCTGACCCACAGGACACACAAAACATCAACAGCTGATCATCACTCAGACCCCAACCAGCTGTTCTCCACAAACCGATGTGTCACCTTCTCTTTGGGTTGAAACGTGGCGTTGATGTCTTTGAGGACTGGTGGTCCATCCTTGCTATAAAAGAAGTTCACTCGATCAAATGTTATCATTCCTTGGCTCGGCCAATCAGGGGGAGGACGCTTCTGAGTTTCTAAGGGTGCTTCACTCTTTAGCTCAGTGTACTCCACCACCCTCTCCACTGATGTCATCTGAAAAGCCAAGAGGTCTTTTTCAATTATGCTTTTTGTAGCCTATGTTAACGTTCATTCATAGGCATCAGGATGTTTTTATATTTTTTAAACCCCAAAACCGAAAATTCCAACTTTCCTACAAAGGGCTTTATAATTTGTACAGCATACTTTACTGTAAGTGCAGAAGTCAAGTGTCCAAAGTTTTTGTACAAATGAGGTATGATCAAAATTTGAGAGGATTAAGGGAAATGGAAACTTTGCTCCATGTAACTGTCCATTAAGTACATTTATCTTCACCCACCAACATCATTTTCATCAACATCATTCATTCAAAAAACTGGAAATACAAAATGTCATCACTCAGTTCTTACCATGTTCTCCACCTCTGCACTTTGTCTCACTGTCCACTGGAAGTTTCCTATCAGTGTTACAGCATAGGTCAGCACAAGGCCCACCTCTCCAGCCTCCAGGCCTAATGGATCCAAAACATGATCAGAAATCAGAGGCTAGTTCAGGACTTTCTTCTGCATTAACTCACTGTGTGTGGTTAGGGTATTTAGCAAACTAAATGCAGTTAAATTAAACATTTAATTGTGTTTAGTTTGCTAAATACCCCAAGCCCACTAAGGGGTTGGTTGGTTTAAAAGTTGTGGAACTGTTTGGTTTTTCTTTCCTTTATTTCTAATAGTTTAAGTAAAGGTTTTAATAAACGTCCATTTATGGCAAATCTTATTAATCTACATTATATATTCTTGACCTGTTGCACAGATTCAATTCAATTCACATCAATTTGATTTATATAGCACCAAATCACAGCAACAATTGCCTCAAAGCACTTTATATTGTAAGGTAAAGACCCTACAATAATACAGAGGAAAACCCCAACAATCATGTGACCCCCCACGAGCAAATCCTTTGGCGACAGTGAGAAGGAAAAACTCCGTTTTTATAGGAAGAAACCTCTGGCAAAACCAGGTCAGGAAGAGGCAGCCATCTGCCATGACTGACTGTGGGTGCAGGGAATAAGACGGGACAAAGACACACCCTGGAACAGAGCCAGAGATGAACAATAACTAATGAATAAATGCTTAGTGGTGTATACGCACATAAAGAGTGAAGAAAAAGACTCATCATGGGAAGCCCCCAGCAGCCTAGAGCTATTGCAACATGACTAAGGGAA